CCCCACACACACACACACACGCACACACATGCACATTCTCTTCAACCCCTGAAATGTACTCCTCAAACTCGCAGAAACACTAATCCCTGCGTCCTGATTGGCTGGCGCCAAACAACACACGTGACCAAAATGAGACTCCCGTAGTCCCGCAATGGTTCACTTCACAGCATCTATCCGTCATCGTCAGAATCGCGCAAGAACTAGTGCTGCGCTCTTGGGCTGGCCAATGAGTCGCTTTTGCAAAATCCGGATACTATGTTAGGGTACCTCTGCGGCGATTAATAAATGACGTGTTATGAACTGCTTCGACAATATAATGGGTTAGAAACACTTCCAAAAACGGGTTAGCACCACTTCAACAAAGGGGTGCACCCACTTCGGTGCAGGCAAATGAGTCAGGAAAGAGAGTTTAGGAGTCTGGATTCGGATAATGTTTCATTGTTGAATTATCCGGTTATCCGGATAGGCTATCCGGATTTTGCCCACCACAACTGCGCTGCCCATCTGCCACAGTGAGTGCCAGACCAGACCACCGTAGCATGAGCCACATGTGATTCCAGCCAGCGCACTCCTTCCTCCCTCGCCGAACCACGAGAGCCACGTACCAGCGCGACGTCATAGTATCATCGTCTGCTGGGATACAACCAACCGACCGGGTATTTGAATAATAATAATATGGATTATTCCAAACGTTGAAGGAGTTAGCAATCATCCCTGCCTCTGCAGGATTTGATTTGGAAGTTGTACCAGCGGGAAAAAGGGAAATTTGAAATTCTAACAGATGTTTCCATTAAGGGAAAGGAACAATCTATGAATATTCATCCAGGCGTGGACTGTATAAACTTTGCTTGTCTCAGAGGAGTATACGACTGAAATAACCTCCTTTTTAGGAGAAAGGAGAAGGTAAGAATATTCCGACTTTGGAAGTTCTTAAAAGTTGGCTCTTTGTTTCGTTTGTCCGTACAGTTATCTATTCATACTTTGCGACCTTAGTTTTAAAGTTCGTACTATTATATATATTACATATTAT